CGTAGTGGATAGAGATCTGTGACCTATTGACTCCGTAGTGAGTACTTGGTTGGGATATGGGATAGAGATCCTTGTTGACTTTAACTGTCTCTGCTTGTCTACGTATATTTTGTTTTAACCTGCTGATTGTGTTTGTTTTAATAAAATTTAGCCAAAGGTTTTGAACAAGGCATAAGGTATTCAACGCCTTCCCCCAGCGATTGTTCTTTTTCACTTTGAGGTGGCAACCAAACCTCTCGACCACTAAAACTAATAAGTCAGTCGAACGATCAAACTATTAGTCAACTTTCCCCATATGTGTACAACATTTATATATGTTTATCCGGGGCGGGCATGGGGTCACATGCAATTCGGATATAAAACACAATTCAAACAGATGTGATCAATACGTTTTCTTAAATATAACATAAAAGACATTGAGAATCCTTACCCCACTGTAAACAAAAACAACAGAGCATTTTAATGTGCTTTATTGTACTATAAATATTAACCTCTTTTCCTCCTCTTAATTTCATATTCGACATAACATTGGCGCGACTTGACCAGCGTACCACCACTGACAAGGTTGGTTCGAGCAACAGTATACATGGATCAGAGGCCCAGTGTTCGAATCCTTGACTGGCCCAAGAACACAAAACAATAATGCTTTATGCGTATTTTTTGGTTTATTTCACATTTACTGTTGTTTTTTTTAATAAAATTTCTGCAAGATATGGTTTTCTGATCAACGACTCTTTATCGAATCTAAAGACATGATCGAAGAAAGTTTTCATCACATTGTTACAGGGATCCTTAAGTACCCCTAAAGACAGCTTAGCGGTCTATGGGATCGTTAACAGCGGTCTATGGGGTCGTTAACAGCGGTCTATGGGATCGTTAACAGCTGTCTATGGAATCGTTAACAGCGGTCTATGGGATCGTTAACAGCGGTCTATGGAATCGTTAAAGCATCATATAGTCTTACCTTTGTTACTTCGCCAGAAAAAAAAGCTGTCTGCACTCCATGAAATAAAATCAGCGGACTGATGAGAAGAAAGTTACATTCAGCAATGAGTTTAAAGACTGACTTTGAGTCCTCCAGAAAGTCGGCACAGCCTCGGCCAGAACATAGAACTTCCTTCAAGCTTTTACTCCCGTCTAGAAATATTGTGTAAGCTAGCAAAGCAATGGCCATGCATGCCGTATATACTCCGAACAGAAGGGTGCGGGTTCCTTCCGTCACAGTCCTTTCAACATATTGATCAAAGTTAGCGTGGCAGAACCTCGGGCCACACACAGAGTTCACAACATCCATAGTCCGGTACTCCCCTATACCAACTTCGCCTATGGATGAGGTATTGCTACAGTTAGAGGTAAGAGATGCGCGGTTTCTATAATTTGTACAGTTATTTTGTTCCACTGAAATAGGAATGAGTTTGTCACTCCTGTCCTGGATGAGTATAAAGGAAGTTAAAAGTGCTCCGAACACAGGTGCCAATGATCCGAAGAAGAAAAAAACACCAAACATCCTAGCCTTGAGACTCCTGGAAAACCTTCCCGCAGCTCCCCTGCCCTCGAGCTGGACCACAATATCTACAACATACGTACTGACAGCTGTCCACATAGCGGCCTGTGAGGCACCACAAACCACAGAAATTGGCACCAGTATATACAGGTTCCGACTCAGATTGGCCACCACAAAGATTATCTGGATACCCAAGGACACGACCAGGACCCACTTGGTGGTGAAGCGGCGGACCACACTTGTGGTGACACAGCAGGCCAACATGAATCCGGCGTATGTACCCGCCATAGATCCCAGACCCAAGCCGCCCTCATGGTTGATGCTGGTGGTGATGTTTCGTATGGAGGAAAAGCTGAGGAAGAACAGGAACCAGCCAGCACTCAACACCAACAACTTACCGTAACCCTTCTTCATGATCAGATCCATGTTCTAATGCTGGAGTGTCTGTTTCATGGGTTGGTCTGCGATAGCTTTGTTTAGGTCTGTCATGGAAGGACTACAGGGTTACGAGTAGGTATTGGGGGTTAAAGCCAGTCAATAGAGATTTACGTGAAATAGAAACCAGATTCCCAAAATCAGCAGTTGTAGCAGGTTCGACCGTCACAGTAGTATGAGCACAAACTACGATCAGTAATGGTTAACATATCCTAATGTACCTGTATAACATACACGTCTCCTCACAGCCTCACCGGTACAGACAAAGTTATGGTTAACATATCCTAGTGTACCTGTATAGTATACACGTCTCCTCACAGCCTCACCGGTACAGACAAACTAAACTATCTAGTCGGAAACTGTTAGACATGCTCCGGAGAATCTATAGTGTAACTCAGCTTGTAGGCAGACTCGTCCCGATATACGGTTGCTCCACCTTTTGGATGTTTGTCTACTGATGGAGTAACACGATATCTGGTCAATCCTGATCGGCCGTAACGAACGCAGCACTCAAGCGGAGAAGCTAATTGTCTGAATAATAAGCATTAATAAGTACAGCCACGTAATCAGATCGCTCGGTCTTACTGTTACGGATGCATAAATATATAGAAATTCATTTGATCACGAACATGATACATCGCATCCCGTCAGTTGTCGACTAAACTCACTTCCTCTGGTACGTAGACTACGGAGATCCAAACAGGTTACACACATCGTGTATATTTCTATGTAATTATGTAGATCTAAAATGCCAATAACTTGCATTTATAAATTGGTCTCTCGTTCTAAACCTGCATATGAAATATATCTATACCGGATTCTGTTGTATGTATACCTACTAGAAGCGAAGTAAGCGACCACTTGTTAAAGTCCACCTCCCGATAACACAGGAGTAGGTACACGTTGTGTTATCATCACATGGGACCGCCAGATTGTTTTGATTCAAAGTAAGAACAGGAAAGCCATAGTAGTACCTGTTTACTTTCACTGCTTGGCCGTACTACAGTGTAACTTTCATCGATGGGCCGTATCATAATGTAACTTTTTCTGCTGGGT